GACAGACAGACAGACATGTTTATTCAGTAAAAGGCCAATGGCCAAACTAGAAATAATGTTTGCTCGTTATAAATACTAAGAATATTTATTACATGAGAATTACTGTAATGAGTAGGCATAGGAAGATTAACAAGGTATTTGTGTCTTAGGGCAGAATATAAATTACAATTAAAGAGTACATGGAATTCATCCTCAATGACATTAACTCCCTTACTACTACAATAGTTACAGAATCTGAGTGAACGGTCTGTATTACTATATCTGCCAGTTTCTAAAGCTATTTTAAAATTTGAACATCTGAATTTAGTAAAAACAATTCTTAAATGGGTAGGGAGTGGACGTGACAAGTACCTTTCAACATTTAACATGGATTTAAAATGCTCATAAAGATCACATTTTGGAGAAGAGTTTACAGAAGCATTCCAGAACTGCTGTAAATTATCTTTGAGCCTTTCCTTAAAATGGAGAATAAAAGCTTTAGAGTCACCCACCTCTTGATTGAGCCATACAAAACCAAACCCAAATTGGAATAATATATTTCTAACTTTAGTCGCCCAAGTTACCCGCCCAACATCATCTAAAGATTTAAGCATTAAATAGCATTGGGAAGGTAATCTGTGGGGTTGAAGATGTGAGAGCCTGCACCAATATTTAATTACTTTAGTCATGTAAGTGAGTTGTAAAGGAAACCTCCCACATTCCCCTAAAACCATATTTGAGCAGGTTGATTTGTTTACTTTTAAATAATGCTTACAAGAGGCGATTTGGACAGATTCGATTTTTTTACAATAGCAAGTACCCCAAATTTCAGAGCCATAGGTTAAGATGGGGGTGACCATAGAGTCAAAAACCTTAAACAGATCTGTACAAGTGATATTACCAATTTCCCTTTGAAAAGAGTTAATGGCTAAAAATGCTTTGGTGGCTTGGGATGCTAGAGTAGTCTGTGCCTTACTCCATACAAGCTTAGGCGTAAACATTGAGCCAAGATATCTATAGCTTGAAACAGTTGGAAACACTTGAGATAAACCTTTGGCTGATCTTACACAGGCTGATAAACTACTGTACATGGAAACAAGGACATTATAAATGGGACCTGATATACCTACTTTCTTTATTGAATCTAACAGAACATCATGTTTTACAGTGTGGAAAGCTTTCGAAAAATCAATAAAGAGGCAGTAAAATCTTCCCTTCTTTTTGCCAGAATATTTTGTTGTAATAGCTTGTAATGTAAACATATGGTCAATAGTAGAATAGTCAGTTCTAAAACCAGCCTGAGCTTCACTGAGGATGTTATTGGTGTCACACCATTGCTGTAATCTGCTGTTTAGGATAGATGTAAAAACCTTGCATAAAGTATCTATAAGAGATATTCCTCTGTAGTTGTCTGTATTTGATTTATCACCAGATTTATGTAATGGACAGATTATACTCTTACCCTATGAAGATGGGAAGGAACCAGTAGAGAATATTTGATAAAAAATCTTGGTGAAAATAGGTGCAAGAAGGTTACTGCAGGATTTAATAAATTCATTTGGTATGCCATCTGGACCTGGGGATTTGTTGTAAGGTAGATTTTATATGTGGGATAATACTTCTTGTTCAGAGATCGGATGGTTTAAACTATCGGAGGCAGAGGGGGCAGAATCATCATAGAGTGGGTACTGGGTGCTATTGTCAGTGGATAAAAGTGATCTAAAATGGTCAAACCATTGCTGGCATGAAATATTTTCAGAAATTGTGTTACCAAATTTGTTTTCTTTAATGATTTTCCAGAAAAGACTTGGGTCAGATCTAGCTGCGACTAATTTGTCCCTCTGAGTTTGTAGATACTGCTGTCTTTTGGAATTGAAACTTTTCTTAAACAAGCGTGTAAAATATCTAAAGCAGTCTAGATCAGCATTGTGGTCTCTATGGGCTCTGAGAGCAGCATACTTATCATGTTTCAAGTTTTCAAGATCTTGGTCCCACTATGGTGGCTGACATAATTTTAATGGTTTGCGGAATTGTGTATAAACCTTTTTGGTATGGCCAGCAGCACATTGAATAATATTAACAATATGAACTAGGGCACTCTCTACATTAGTATCAATCATATCACAAAGTGCAGATTTAATATCATAAAAGCCAGCTTTAAAATTATCAAAGAAAGTGTTACCAGAGTCTCTACTCCAGACATACTTGTACCATTTACATGGCTCAGTACTGACATCTTGCGGAAGATCATTTTGTGGCAATTTACAATCAGGTTCATATAAACAGTTAAAATCTAGATTAAGACTGCAGTATAATGGAAAGTGGCATGAATTATCTCTTGTACCAATACCAAAGTCAGTTACATGTAACATGGGCAAACAGGGATGATGAAGCTAACATATAATCAACAACACTTGCTCCATTGTGTGTTACACAAGTGAACTCTCCTCTCTGATCATTAAAGAGCCTGCCATTAAAGACGTGAAGATTAAAAGAACGACAAAGTTCTGCTTGCTTAACACCAAAATTGTTGCAGGCATGACAATCCCTGGATTTTCGAGGCATATCAAACACATCTCCTGGATAATCTGAGGAGTCATATAAAAAATCTAAAGTATCATCTGGTATATAATCTGGGAAGTCTTTAATTCTAGCGTTCAAATCGCCCGCAATAAATATATGCTTGTCAGGGTGATCAGAAGTGTAGCACAACAGACAAACACGGTCTTCGGTTTCAGCAGGTGTTTTTAATAACAAGGACCAATTTTATACGCTGGTACAATGAATACTTAACAAGGGCGTGGCAGAGACTGTGAGAGAGGCTATGGACTGTTTCAGGCGTGACCCAGTGTGACCAGAGCTCGTCCCAGTGTGCTGGCCTTCTGAGCTGTGACTTGACTGTTAGCTTGGCTCGTGTTCTTCTGCCGTTTTCGTCTGGACTGCTCTGTCGGTCTGGTCCTGGTCAGTGTTCAGCGCCCTTCTCTGCCTCTTTCCCCGACTACACTGACAGTGCGGTTTATATAGGAAGGCTGTGACCCTCAAATCTTCAGGGGGGTCAAAACAAGTTCGTGGTACGATAAACCGGTCAACCACTGTCCGATTTATAACCGTCATCTGGTCATGAAATGACACTTGAACCTTTTAGGGGGGGTCGACACAAGTTCGTGGTACAGTACACGGGAAACTCTTTGTCAACACTGTCCGATTTATGACCATCACCTGGTCACTGACCCATTTCTTCTGATGAACGCAATAAGCTCACCTCTGCACAGTCTCTGGCCATACTGGATAGTGTTACAGAAGTGACTGTGAACAAATAATCTTCTAGGACTGACATGCCATCACAATCAAGGTTTTTGTAAATAGGAGATTCCTCAGGTGATAGATAAGGGAAAATAAGGATCAAATCTTTATCCCATGATAAGACAGTCGAACGAAGTAACAAAACAACTCAGTTCGGCATTAGTCCGGACTAGTAAAGCAACCACGCACACACGTGCATACACGTCGCTATATAAGTGCACTAATCTTGGACGCGACGTTGAAACCCATCCACCTGAACCCACCTATTGTCAGAAACTGGTATTTGCTCTGTTTGTAGAAATAATAAGAGACGCAATTTTGTGCATTATACGACTGAGCTATTTCGTTAAACTATAAATAAAACGATGATAACAGACACTTACTTGTGCATGAGAATCTCAGTAATATCCTTCGGGTGCACAAGGACACAGGAGTGCCAGGCTTGAGACATCACACGCTTCATTTTTCTACAGATATCATAGGATTGCGCTTGCTTGGGTTGTCTAGCCCAGTTTTGTTTGTTTGTTTGTTTGTTGTTTACGCCGCACTCAGCACTCAGTAAATAATCGAGTCTGGACCAGACAATGCAGTGATTGACATTATGAGCATCGTTCCACGCAATTGGCTTTTGGTTTGGTTTGCTGTTTAACGCCGCACTCAGCAATATTCCAGCTATATGACGGCGGTCTGTAAATAATCGAGTCTGGACCAGACAATCCAGTGATTGACAACATGAGCATCGATCCACGCAATTTGGACCGATGACATGCATCAACCAAGTCACCGAGCCTGGCCACCCGATCCCGTTAGTCGCCTTTTACGACAAGCATAGTCGCCTTTTACGGCAAGCATGGGTTGCTGAAGACCTATTCTACCCCGGATCTTCACGGGCCTACACGCAATTGGGGTACGATGACATGTATCAACCAAGTCAGCAAGCCTGACCACCCGATCGGGTTAGTCGCCTCTTACGCCGAGCAAAGTCGCATTTTACGGCAAGCATGGGTTGATGAATACCTATTCTACCCCGGATCTTCAGGGGTCTGTCTAGCCTAGTCCCGATGATGAAGAGCCTGCAGCCATATAGCTGGAATATTGCCGAGTGCGGCGTAAAACAACAACAAACAAAAACATATGCTCAGAATCGACTGAACAAATAGTGAGGCTCTGTTGTGTTCTGAGGTCTTCTATGGCGGTAACTGTCATCGTGCCTTGTGACGTCCAATGTCAATATGTCACTTTTACACAAGTACGACGATGAGGATATTTCAGATGAGTTTGTTTGGTGTTTAACGCCGCAGACAGCATTATTCCAGCTATATGACGGTGTCCTGTAAATAATCGACTCGGGACCAGACAATCCTCTGATTAATATCACGCGCTTCGATCCACGCAATTGGGATACAATGACATGCATCAAACAAGTCAGCGAGTCCCATTCGTCGCCTCTTATGACAAGCATGAGTTGCTGAAGACCTATTTAACCAAGATCTTCACGGGTCTGTTTCTAATGTGAGTAAGATGGAGACCATGACTTGTGACAAATTGCGGGGCGGTGGGGTAGGCCCGGGTTCGATTCCCCACATGGGTACACCTTATGTGGTGTTCCCCTCCGTGATATTTCTTAAATATTACTAAAAAGAATCCATATTCGCTCACTCCCAACAAAAAGCAGCAACAAAATATTCAGGACACGTGGTTCCTCATGTTGAATTTCACACGGCTGTACCTTATGTATTGAAAAACTTGAGAATTATCAATGGATCAGAAAGTATACGGTAACTTCAAATCTAGCTTTCATGACCTGCGACCCTTCGCCATATTGTTAGAGTGTCACGATAGTGTCCGGCCAGTGTGAACTCTCCGTGTCTCACAGAAAACACATCAACATGCATGAAGCGAACACTCAACAGGGGACCTTCAGTGTAAGTTAACACAGCGTAAAGCATTTCGTCTCACTATAATGTTGCTGAATAAGTTTATGTTTAGCTGGCTGATGACCCAGATACGGTCATGAATGTTATTTGTACAGCATAGAGGCAGGGTTGTCGATCGTACTCGTATTACCGTAGCACTTAGTATTGTGGGGATGCCTACATGCGCGATAAAATAATACTATACTATACTATAAGTTCATGTTTTATAAGATTCACAATCATCTAAAACAAGAGGCTTTCAAAACAACAATTATTGCTATGATCGCACATCTCCATTATGATTTTAATAAATGCATGAGCTATGAGTTTAGAACTTACTGCCAGGCGAACGAACATGTGGAGGCTAGCATGTCTCCAAACTCAGAGGCTTTTAGAGGCTTTCAGGGAACAGTTTTCTGATATGTGAACGAGATGGAGATTTTGATCAAAGTAGACGATGAGATCTTAATGATAAACGAATTGAATGTATCATGTTGGTTTTCATTTTGCCATCTACTTTTTAAATACTGTATGAGGACAATATTGTTTGAGGATTACTGATATCGAAATTTTACAGTTACATGAAATATATAAACTAGCTTCTTTCCTAGGTATCTTGGAAGGTGTCAGAAATGTTTTTCTTGCATTGTGCACATCGATAATGATGTCATAAAACCGAAGTGTGTTTATTTATGGGTAGTTACAGGACTAGGTTGTACTGCATTATAGATCAAATATGAATATAGATAGATATTGGTGATGTCAGCAGTCACCTCATTTGGTAAATTAAAATCGAGTCATGATACATGATTCTGGTGAAGTGACCTGTTGCTCAAAACCGGAGCTCTCTTCTATTGTCGTTGAATAATCAGTGATCACTCCTTATAATGAAAACATTGTGTAATCTGAACAAATATATATAAACTAACAAACAACTGTTTCTTAGGTCGATGGGAAGAAGCTTGACTCGGATTTCAGAGGACAGCACACCACTACAGTAACAGATCGAAGTGGCCACAGTATAAAGTATCAACTATTCCAAGGGGTACATTACACACTTCTGTTTAAAGTCGATATACTTCAACAAATCAGAGGTTTCAACATGAGGCTAGATGACATATACTTCGCTGGATATCCTCGTACAGGTAAATTCAAAATGTTAAAGCCAGAAATTAATCAGTTCCGATTATCCACCGAAATAGATTCCACTTTGAGTAAAAAGCGAAAAGTGATGAAAGTTATATCAATGAGTGATGAGGGTAAGCGAGTCTTGCTGTACAGTTAGCACCCACCAGACATTCTAGTGATCTGAAACTCTGGTCATCAGTATCATGAGCAATGGTCCACGTCTTACAATGCCAGCAGACAAGCAAGTCACCGAGTATGACCGTCCGATCCACTACGTCCGAGCGCCATTGAGTAAAGCAGGGTGAAATATCCATGTAGAGGTTGTAATAGTGGATAGCATCGCCCATCATGTTGACAATAAATACAAGTGACAAAATCCATTCAATAATCACAAACAAAATCCATGCTAAAAACCGATTGTACGATTGAACGAGCATGTGTTAATGGATCACTATCAAATAGTGATGATACTTGCTGTTCGCGAAAGGTTCAGCTATTCTGGCTCACTTGTGGCACTCGCCACAAAAACATGCAAAGGCAAGTCAATTGTCAACCTGAAAAGACACAGGAACATGTGGCACAAGTCATAAAGAGAATTGCGTCACAATGTATGTGATTAATGTGTCAAATGAGTAAAAATGTCTGCCGTAAAAAAAATACATGTGTCATATTCAGTGAGTGAGTGAGTGAGTATGGTTTTACGCCGCTTTTAGCAATATAACAGCAATATCACGGCGGGGGACACCAGAAATAGGCTTAACACATTGTACCCATGTCGGGAATCGAACCAGGGTCTTAGGCGTGACGAGCGAACGCTTTAACCACCAGGCTACCCGACCGCCCCTCATATTCAGTAAATTCCTTTGAATATGTACCATAAATTTCTAGAATTCTAAAATGACTTGACCAGGTCTTGATGGTGTAACCTGGAATGAAAAGCTCAGCTGTAATTTATAAGTAAAATGAGTATCTCCATGTAATTTAAAGAATATGAACATACTCGTAAGTACCCCTTGCTCGGTAATATTATCTGAACCTATTGTACTAAATTTTACAATTCTCTATCTATATTAAAAATTGTCCAACGGGTGTCTTAGTGAAAGAAGAGCCGTGAAATAAATATTTTCATTTGTATAACATCCATTGGAAACTTGGTACTGCTAGCCGAGCAATCAGGAGTCTAAAATGTATACCTCCAATTCAGAATGATGAGATCTGATGAGTCCATGTGATCTTGATAAAAGACTGTGTACCCCCACTTGGAGGGGATAATAACCTCAGCGGGTAATAATTCTTTTATAACCCGCCACGAGCAAATCACGACAGGCTGCACGTGGATATCAGAGAGACAGAATTAATCCCTTATACCCCGCTTCAAAGCAAAACGCCGCACGTTTTTTTTCCCGAATCAATGGAAGTCACGTAGCCTCTGCTCTATCTAACAGCTGTTTTCGATCCATTTGGAATTTGTTTAAATTCTTTTACGATGTCATATTAAAACATGCCGGTAAGATAAATTCGTTGTAGCAGGATCACTCGGTGTACATGGGGTTTTATGCGTCCCCCGAACACAGGACGCCTCCGGCTCATGGTATAAAACCTAACGCGGGAGGCATACAACCCCATGTTCCCCTCGTGATGCTGATGCAACTTTATAGACGTAGTATAAGTAACTTCGAGGATTCGACGTGTTATTCTTCCTTTCTGAAGGGACAAACTGGACATTCGAAATGGCAAGCATGCTTCTTAATGGTAAAGCTGAAACCATCCAAAGAGCCAAGGATCTCATGGAATTAACTCCTCATGACGAACTCGCCCATCTGCCAACACCACGCATCGTCAACTCTCACATGAAGCTGTCCAACTCTCCAGATGATGTGGCAGCACTGAAGTGCAAAGTCATCTACACCTTGCGAGACCCAAAGGATGTTGCTGTCTCTCTGTACAAACTCTACTTTGACAGACCCTTGCCCTTTGGAAGATATATGGGATCGTTTGAGGATTATCTTAATCTCTTCTTGGATGGAACAGGTCTGAAATTTTATCCCTTTATACTACAGCTAATCTTATGATTGATTCATTAATAATGAAAGATATTCTTTTTTTAAAACGAACTTCAAGTATTCCCAAAGCACATCTTACATGATATTTTGATACCAACAAGCGCTGGAGAAACCAAAGATGTTATTTCAGTACCAATTATCCTTGTTCTTATAAATCTAAATGTATGGCGTGCTTCGGATTTGGTTTCAGTTGACAACAATGGCATATTTGAACACTTGAGAGACGCCGAGAAATATTTCAGTCACCATCCCGAAATCCCAGTTCACGTGCAAAGTTACGAAGAAGCCATCAAGGTACAAGGCCTCATGTCACAAATGATCTTAGCACCACCATTGTCGTAACTCCCATACTTGAATATTGACTTACGGTTGCAGTAGTGCTAAGATTGCTTTGTGGAATGAGATCAGGAGTGACATTTTATACATGTTCCTTTTGTTCCTTGTTTTGGTATACATGTATTCCATTATTTATGACCAACAGCTTTTGATATGAAAAATATTCGAAAATAGATTCTGCAAAAAAGAAACGCAAAAGTAGTAAAATCGTTAATATCTGACAGTGTCGCCAACATCCATGCAAACTTCATACCAAAAATGAACTGGTCATTTCTGCATGGATTTGGATTGATTTGTGTGGAAAAAATGAGGTTCTGCAAACATTTGGTGAAAAGATGAGAGTCTGTCGGCAAAGCACACAACAATAACATGCACGTGCAACATCACTTGCTGGGCTATAAAAAAACGCTTGTTTTTTATGACTGTGCATGCCATCACAATCTCACAGCAAGTAAAATCGAAAAATGTCACGACTGACGAACGCCCAACGCAACAACGCCATCGGCCGACTGCCAACAAGAGAATCATCTTCAGCTGTATCTAGGTTTTTCCACGTAGCAGGATTAGAAGGTTGTGAAATCGTTACCTGACACACGGAACAACATGTGACCTTCCCAGACCCGGTCGTCCACGAATCACAAGAGCACTGGACAGATTCATACGGTTAGGTCACTTAAGTGAAAGAACCACCACGGCCATCTCTGTTACTACGGCAATACCAAGATTGCGTAGGATATCAGTCTAAATAGTGAGGATACCCGTGAAGATCCGGGGTAGAATAGGTCTTTAGCAACCCATGCTTGTCGTAAGAGGCGACAAACGGGATCGGGTGGTCAGGCTCGGTGACTTGGTTTATGCATGTCATCGTATCCAAATTGCGTGGATCGCTGCTCATGATGTCTGTCATTGGATTGTCTGGTCCAGACTTGATTATTTACAGACCGCCGTCATACAGCTGGAATATTGCTGAGTGCGGCGTTAAACAACACACAAACAAACAAAGAAACAAAAAGATAACCAGAAACCGTTTACACGCTTAAGAATGTTGAGGTATTCGCGCCAGATGACCAGTTCAAGTTGTCAATTTGACGGACCTGCATCGTCGGCTCCGACTTCAATGGTGTCAAGATCACAGAGTATGGCCACAACCGGGAATGAGACGTCGTGTTTACAGGCATCACGTGTAACGTTTTGCACGAAACTGTATACAGGAAGTGGACAGATTTGGTGGTGATCGTGTGATGATGTGGGCAAACATATCCTACACTCGTAGAACAACCTTGGAGCAACTTCGATGGAATTTAACGGCACAACGTTAAATGGATAAGATTCTTTGGCCACATGTCCTTCCGATAGAATTATCATTAAACCGCCCGTATGTTATCAGAAATGAGCGGGCCACCGTTGGTAGGTGACGTCATGGGAATAGGGAAAGGTGACGTCACGTTCAATAGTGACGTCATCTGGTTTGTTCTATGACGTTTCCATATTTGTAAAAGTGGGTGAGTGAAATTCGTGTTGATTGCAGTAAATGTGTCAAAGCCGATATTGTTGTTTATTTATATTGGATTACAAATTATCGATCTTTTCAACAGTTAATGGAAGATCTCGGGCTGCAAATGATAACGCCCTGAAAAATAGCGTTACCCTTATAGCTATACCGTTATTATAGCTAAACTGGATAGAGTTTGTAATCAAATAAAAATAAACAATATCGGTTCTGAAACACTTAGTGCAATCAACACGTCACCTTTCCTATCCATGTGACGTCACCTAACAACGTGGCGCACACTTATAGGGATCAACAGCCAACGCGATGAAATTTGATGTGTACAATCTATTTCTACAGGAGTATGCACATTGATTATTGACATATGATTCACAATAAATTATAGCGTATATTTCACCAACAATATCATATGTCTTTGTGTAGCCTTTGTCGTCGTTGTCAATCACGGAGAAAACTCCACCTACAATAATTCCGATTGACTGTTCCTCCAGATTAGGGACGAGGATAGACGTTAAGATGGTGGTGGGTAGTGGTCACAACACTGACGGTAGCTGCTGTATCGTTACTGTCCACAGAAACAAATGGAATTATTTTTTAAATTATATGTATCATCATAATTTGGCCACATACCTTATTCAGGATATTGTTCCTGACTGTTGTTATTTTTAGTTTCATTTTATTATATGTTATATTAACAGTGTGAGCTTGTGCTATCGAAGAATTCCTAATAACTCTGTGTTTCTCATTGTTTCATTTTATCTCATTTTGAAAATGAGTCCGTTGCAGCTTTGAACTGTATTGTAAATACACCACAACGTATATCTATATGTCGAAGTTGTTGCAGTCTTTTTGAAAAGCGGTTGTGGTTGTGGCGTCCACAAACTGAGTCATAATCCAGTGATAGTCTGAAAAAAACGTATTTTCGCTCTGTTTTAAGGCTAGGAGAGGGCTGGGCTATTTCGTTCTACTATATGGGACAATGTAAACTTAACAGACACTTACCTGTGTATGAGACTCAGTAATATTCTTCGGGTGCACACGACATGGACAAATAAGTTACAGACTGGAGATATGTGGCACGCTTAATTTTTCATACAAATATTAGGATTGCTCCTGCTCAAAATCATCACTATAGAAGCCTACAGTTATTCTTGGTGAGGATTGCAATGTTAGAAGAGAACCAACCGTTGACACTCTGAGATTACAATGTGGTATATGTATTAGAGTATATCTTACAGAATAAAAACACTAAACATACTTTTTGTAATTTTTAATGACTACATCAACTCCAGCTTACACCCGTTAGGATTCGCAATGTTTTGTTTGTTGTTTAAAGCCGCACTCAGCAATATTCCAGTGCTATCACGGCAGTCTGTTCATAATCGGGTCTGGACCAGCCAATTCAGTGATTGATATCATGGGCATCGATCTACGCAATTGGGATACGATGACATGCATGACCGAGTCAGCGAGCATGACCACCCGGTCCCGTCAGTCGCCTAGCACGACACATTTGGGTTGCTGAAGGTACGTGAAGGCAGACTTCAAGATGAAGCTAATGCCGCCATCTTATCCCTTGTCCGTGTCGTCAACGCGTGGCATATCGACACATTCAGCAATATCCCAGATACATGACGACGGTCTATAAACAGACGGACCTGGACCAGACAATCCAGTGATTGACATCAGTGCATAATCACAGTTAATTAAGAGAGATATGTTGCATACAGAAGCATCATGAAATGTCTCTGCGGGGGTTCTGGATTAGAATTTGTCCCCCGAAACCTCCCCTTGTTCAAAGAGGCGACTTAATGCATCGGGTTGGCTGGATCTGTGACTGCGTGTCATCGTACGACGTTGCTCATAATATACATCACTTTCTGCCTGGTAGGGGCGGTCGGGTAGCCTAGTGGTTAAAGCGTTCGCTCGTCACGCCGAAGACCCGGGTTCGACTCCCGACATGTGTACAATGTGTGAAGCTGATTTCTGGTGTCCCCCGCCGTGATATTGCTGGAAACTATTGCTAAAAGCGGCGTAAAACCAAACTCACTTCTGTCTGGTAAAATGTCGATTATTTACAACCCCCTAGGAATTTTGCGGCGTACAGCTTTAAACAATTAACAAACAAACAAAGCCTTGACACGAATTATCATAAGTGTGTGGAAGAAACACTGACATAGAGTCAGGTCGATTCGACCTACATGCAGCCGTGGTAGATAAAGAGCTAATGTGATGTTCATTTGCTTCGTCTATACATAGACATACACACACATATCAAACTTGATACATATTTTCGCATGTTTCGTTTTAGTTTTAGGCAATATCCCTGATTGGGTGTTTGGAGAGGGCCACAAACGCTACGTACCGTGACGAGAAGTGACTGTTAGGTTATTGCATGTGTAGCTGACAATTATTTTACTTGGATTATAGTCCACCATTCAGTTGTTTTGTTATACATAAAACTGCAAGCGACAAGGAACATGACAGCCTCGAAAATTACGGCATGTCACTGAAAATATACACACTCCATTGTCTAAAAGTGCTTTCCCATTTCATCCAGATGTCGGTCGCATTGTATATTTAGCGAGTAATAATGATTCATGAATGCGTCCGCCTGCGGACAAACGTGATACATGCGTGGTTTGTGGATTTGAGTGAGCTGTCAGGGTATCGGTTCGAAGGACGTCAATTCTTGTGAAATGACATACCTGGCATCTTTATGTAAATCTGACCGCCTCCGTGGTCTAGTGGTAGAGCGTCCGCCCGGAGAGCGGAAGGTCCGGGGTTCGATCCCCGCCCACGTCATACCAAAAGACGTTAAAAGATGGTATTTGTTGTTACCCTGTCTGGCGCTCGGCATTAAGGGGCTAAAACAAGGACTGGTCGGCTCGGAGTCAGTATACTGCGTCTGATTGGGGTATTCATGTTAAACTGCGGCATCGTATCTCAGTGAGCTAGCACTATAAATCGGCATCAGTCCGGACTAGTACAGGCAGCCACACAAACACACACACGTACATGCACGTCGCTATGTAAGTGCAATAATCTTGGACGCGACGTTAAACCCCATCCATTTCACTTCACCTCACCTTATGTAAATCTACTTCAGTGTGTAGGTTACTTGCCTTTGTATCTGACGTATCCGCAATTATTCTACAAACAGAGCAGACTGGACAAATGGAAGCCTTTCTGTGCGTTTTACAGGATGCTTCGCTTATTTATTTACGCTCGTCACCACATTGTACGGCCATTTAAAAAAAAAATAATTTCGATACTATCTTGCAATTTCAAGATACTAAGTTGAAATTTCAAGAAACTAAGTTGAAATTTCTAGATAGTAAGTTGAAATTTCAAGATACAGAAGTTGAAATTTTAAGATACAGAAGTTGAAACTTCAAGATAGTATCGAATTTTAAAAAACAACAACATGGCCCTAAAAGGCTTCCGTAACATTGCGATACGTATCAAAATATATTGTATAATTCAAACGTTTGAATTCAGAAGCAATTCGAAACATCAATGCAGGAATTAAAGTTCATAAATGGAACAAAACAAGATCCTGGAACATCACAATGTTTACTCATTCAATAAATACGCACGGATGCATGCTCCGGGACTATGAAGACTTGGGGTTACGACCTGTGAAGATTCCGGGGTCTTCAGCAACCCATGCTTGCCGTAAAAGGTGACTATGCTTGTCGTAAAAGGCGACTAACGGGATTGGGTGGTCAGGCTCGTTGACTTGGTTGATGCATGTCATCGATCCCAATTGCGTGGGTCGATGCTCATGATAACAATCACTGGATTGTCTGGTCCAGACTCGATTATTTACAGACCGTCGTCATATAGCTGGAATATTGCTGAGTGCGGCGTTAAACAACAAACCAACCAACCAACTTGGGGTTACACCACTGCCACAGAATGCGAACTTGCATTTTGGAATTACGGAAACATTTCGAAGGTACATGATTTGGCAAGTGTATAACATAAAACACATACTAAAAAATCGCTGTTTGAAATCACCCGATACTCCGGGCATTAACACATTATATTGTGATACGTAGCATGGAAAGAATGAACCTTAAAATACCGATATACCGGTAATACCGGGCACCCTGTCTATCAGTCTATACATTCACAATGCAGACTGTAACAACTTTGGACGAAACAAACAAAGTGTTTTCTCTACAGATAATCCCTACAGATCATATCTCAAATAAAACTTATAGAATTATCATAAAAGAGTGTACCCTCTTCAAAAATTTAATGTTAACTTAGCATTGTAGAATGTTGAAAAAATTCACCCCATCTCGTAATAAGATTTAATTTGCGAAGGACATCGACAACCAGTGTTGGGTAATGTATATGCATGTGTAATAGATATCAATTATAGTACGATCATTGTATGTTCACATGCACATTAAACATATAGAAAATATTATTTTAACAAACCTATCGAAGCGCGATATTATCCTAGTTTCAAAGAAAGGGAAAACAATCGTAAAAACAATTTGCATATCATTGTTCACAGTACATGATATCCAAAAGCGATAATTGTACAATGGGATTTTTTAGTAAATATTCCGTCCTTGAATGTAATATGTTTTGTTATGGTTGTGACAATAATAGGTGTAAGGAAACATTTAAAATATAGTATCGCTTCCAGAGGATAGAGGCATATCGTTGGAAGGTATCAAATCAAATGTCCCTTTCAAAATAACACCAACATCGCAAATTTGATCAACATCGAAATGTACAAGTCTGTGCTTATGTCAAAGGGACTACATGTAGATTTGGGTCCCTGATTTAGGGGTCATATTTCATGGTTGGATGACCCACTGGAGCGCTGGAGGTAAGCATATCTTTCCCGAAACCTGGCGGTACTCCGTCAGTCTCACCCGCTATCTGTTTAAATCAGAATAATGTTTGAAATTACTAAAAGCCCAACAAACAATACCAATAAAATGTCTTAGAACGTGTTTTCACAAATGTCTACTGAGAACTATGTGTCACGTATTGGTGATCGTTTTCAGTCCAAGTCTAGTCGTCAGTCACACATCCATTGGTGGCGAACGACAGGAATTAGACTTTGTACCGTCAGATGTAGCGAACTTGGTGTCTTATAAACATCCCTAAAACGGCATAAAACTACACTGATATGAAATTGAGAAGATCCTTATCCTTACACTAAGCATCCTATGTTTGTCCAAAGAACAAATAAATGGACCAGATGGTCAGGTTCGTGTATCATCAAACCCCGACGGCGAGGCATATTTTCATAATATCAATCACTCTCTGGTACAGACAATGTTATTTAAAGACAGCCGCCATATAGCTGGAATATTACCAAGTGAGGTGTTAAACAGATGACCAGCAAAATTTACAGGCACCATATTGCTTACGTTCACGTGTAACCTTCTCTCGATCTGCCTGTCACAACAAAAGTAAAAACCCAGTGGTTTTGGACACACGATTCTAGTACTCACAAGATCACGTACTCTGATTTTCTTTTCCGCTGTGTTCCCTCTATCCAGTACACTTATGGGTGCGACTGAAACACAAACACTGTCAGGTTATCAGTTGACGTGGTTCAAGATACGTACAATGTAGGACCATTGCATGGTAGAATTAGACCAAACGTTAAAAGTATCTGCAAAAATGTGCACAATAAAACTAAATCTAAATCTGCACAACTAGACAAAATAAGGACATTCGAAAGGAAAGTTTGCGGCAATGTTGCATTTTCGGTGACTGACCAGCCCAGTTACCCACAACGAGGGACCATGCAAGTTTCTTGTATCACTTGTACAATAGTGCAAGTTATCTGCTTCACTAAGAGATGATATTTGTATGTAACACCGGATGTGTTTCCATTTGGTGTAAAATCACGATATGGCTGAAATATTGCTGATCTGACGTTAATATTACCTCAACCATGTTTGCTATAGTAATGGGAATAAGAACCAATAAATTACCACTATAAGCCCGATTTATTAAAACACGTTTTTGACGTCACTCTACTGTTTCAACGTTCACTCTCCATTATCTGAAGCAATGAACCGTTGGCTGTGTATTACATTATCCTGAAACCACATGTATATTAATGTACTTATAAAATTGATGGAACTATTTTTCTTCGTACTTGACGTGTCGACTCGGATCAACATCTCATATGTATGATTTAAAGGTGGTGTTTAGCCGACCTCGGCAACGGTGACACATGATAGAATATTTTGACATTAACTGTTAAAAGGTTGAAATGCTTAAAGGCTTAAATCATAAAATGTACAATGTGTAATAAGATATATGACTTCAATTTTCCAACAGTCAACTTTCTGTTTATGTCCAACAATATTCCAGCACATCCAGCTTTTTAGTGTCTATATTTCTTCTGAGGTACACTGGAGCATGCCCTTTCTACCAAGATTTCAAAAAGTGTCATGCAACTTTTCCTCGCAAGTTGTTTTATCAAGGTTACAACATTCAAGGCTTCACTCGGCAAAGATTTTAAAACATTTCCAAATTTGCAAAAAAACAATGTCCTATGCAATTTTACTATTTTGACATATGTTCCCATGTTTTTTTCAGATGAACAATTTACTTTGTTTTGCATATGTTTCTGCCGGGTGACACTTGTGGGGCATCATACCCTCGACTTTTCGCAACACCTTGTATCATTACAATATGATGGTGATTGATTAAAAACATGCTCAAGATATAGTTTTTGGTAGAATTTTGTTATGATTATGGGAAAGGTGTTGTTGCTTTCTATTGACATTATGATACCTACAACAATATTCATATATAAGTAATTAGACAACACGTTTGATGAGAAAACATAACAAACAGGATAAACGTTTTTATCCTCAAGATTGTTCAGGGCTCCATATGTCATGTAATCCCTGTCTGAGGATGTTGGAGCGATATATCAGACTTTGCACTTGTGCATCAGCAGCAGGGAACACATCACATGGGCGTCACACATAGGTGCTCACACAATATAAATACTGACTACAAAGAGGTCAGGTTCATTCGTCACATATTTTCCACACGGAACGTTTATCTGTTTCATTTCAATGTAGAAGTTATTTTAAATTAAGGAAGTGTCATAACTGTTCTCAATGTTTTATTAATTTTATTTTTGTCTGGAAAGCCAACGAGGTTTACAAGAAGCTGCATGTGCTAAATGCTACAATTAAATATAAAACGTAAACCCCAGAGAACAACCAGTCTTGATTGTCCTACGAAACAGATTCCATTGGATGTAAAAAACAAAATGTGAAAACTATATGAATGGATCACTGGAAATGATTGATGCCACCCGGTGTTCGCGAAATGGGTAAGCATGTCCTAACTTAACGGTAGCACCCGCCACTCACAATTTGTATAAAAAACCATTAGTTTATGTTCCCTGACATCGCACAGCAGTACTCCTGCTAAGATTTATTGTGTGTGTGGTTTCGTGTTATAGAGCATACTTTCAGTATGATTATATAAAGCACCATATTGGTGATCATACCTTTCCCCTGTTTCGCCCGCATCGTATCTACTGCCGCCGCAGCCCGTGCCCTGAAATTTCATTGATTTCATATTACGAGATTTTCTTAACCAAGACTAGGAAGGTGACACAGCGTTGTGGTTTAGGAAAACACCACGGAATCTTGCTTCTACTCCACTCTACTGTAGAAGAGTACATTCACTCTTTAAAACTGTCTTATTGAATTATAATAGCAGTAGCTTCTAAACATTTACCGTCAGAGTGATTGTCAGAAAAGGCATGGATCTGTGAAGATGCACAATACCATTCATTTCAAAATACCTAAGTTCTTACTACAGATCTCTGCCACCTATGTTACCTTATGGAAACGCCTGCATGGTGCAGTAGATCGAGCGTCTGCTCAGAGAGAGGAAGGTCTTTGGTTCGAACCACTAACCGCGTTATACCTTACTCATCACCTCAGCATTACTGTGATAAAACAAGGAATGGTCGGTTCGGACTCAATATAATGATACACTTCAATCGTTAACTGTAATATTGACCATAGAATAAAATACGTGTCATATATCCTATAATCCCTCATTAAATAGCATAGTATTTTCTTTATTGCTGAAAGAATACTGACTTGGTGTTTCTTGTTATGATGAACTGACTGAGAATAGTGTGATATTGATACCAAGAATAATTTTTAATTTCATATATTCTGAAACATCACACACATAGTATGGTTGCCTAATGCTGCCGTAAATGAACAAAGAACGAGTTGTCTGCCATGTACAATGGTTCTTTAAGGCGGACTGACCGGTTGTTCCTTATGTTGGCCCCTATTGCTCCCAGGAGCCCCAGTCCAAGCATACCACAGATGGTTCTCGTGGCCCATAACTCCATAACTTGACCACGTGGTGGGCTACACGCACTCTCATTGGTCGACGGCTGTGTGGTTTCCTCCAGTGTAGTTGTCAGGACTGTTGTGGGTGTTGCTGGAAATATTTCAATCATTTGCACTGAACTTACAACCACTGATTTCAACCATTTGCAGTGGAATCTTGTTATTACTAGGCGTGTCATATTCGCAGTTCTGTTGGCTGTGTTTTAAACTATGGGAAAATGTTAACTCCAGCTTAAACAGAGTACCCACTTGAATGCATTTGGACCTTGAACTTGTTAGATATATTTATTGACAATTAATGATCTTATAAAAGAAGTCAAACCTCTCTTCTTACCAGAATTACTTAACCTTGCTTGTTCTAATTAACATAGCACATACCGGCTGGTTTCATTAGAGTGGTTATCGGCTAATATCAGTACCACACACGCCGCGATATCACTGAAATACTGCCAATACGACGGAAAACCAAACCCACTCACAGACTCACTGTAACATGTATACGTGCTTTGTGTGTTGTTAATAGACATTCTTCTCGTTGGCGTTACTATTGCGGACATTGTAAATGCTTTCTCGGGTTCAATTGGTTTTATTCTCTCTGACTTGTTCCTCTATAGGGTTAATCGTATATGCAACACTGGTACACACGTTTGTTTGTTTGTTGTTTAACGCCGCACTCAGCAATGTTCCAGCTATATGACGGCGGTCTGCACATAATCGAGTCTGGACCAGACAGTCCAGTGATTGATATCATGCGCATCGAGCCACGCATTTGGGATACGACATGCATCAAACAAGTCAGCGAGCCCAATCCCGTCAGTTGCCTCTTACAACAAGCATAGTCGCCTTTTACAAGCATCTGAAGACCTATTCTACTCTGATCTTCACGGGTATGGTACGCAAGTAGTCAAGGTAAACATCCTTTAGTCACAGGGAGATACTATGCATAGTTTAAAAAAACATGATTATTCTCACTGGTCGATGTTGCAGTTGTTGATACCGTTGGTCTGTCACAGTCGGTGAAGAGGAGGTAGACAACAGCGTAGTCCTGAAGCTCTGGAACCCCTCTGTCCGTGACCTTGACAACGAAAATATCGGAAGTAACAGACTTCATTCCGAGTTCTGCTGGCGTGTATATCAATATGATCCCACCGCTAGTGAGGTTGACGAACACGTATCTGCTGCTGCCGTTGATGTTGTAATACAGATTTGCATTATCGATGTCGTTGGCGAGGACGGAAGACACGACATCGCCGTTGAAGCTGTAGCATGTTACGCGGATGGTGTACAGAGACTTGGTGAAGATGGGTGGATTGTCATTGTAATTGGTCAGGTAGATTCTCAGGACGCCCGATGTGAATTCAGGGACACTAGCTGAGTCTTCGGCACGGATTGTGATGTCGTGATAAAGACTTCCGTTTGTTGCGACATCTGCGTCGATGTTTCTCGCCGTCGATAGGACTCCGGTGACCTCATCGATCGTAAACATGTCCATGGAGTTGGTTCCGGTATCTAAGACAAAAGTGAGTGAGTGAGTGAGTGAGTGAGTGAGTGAGTGAGTGGTGGAGTGAGATAGTGAGTGAGTGAGTGAGTGAGTGTTAAGGGAGTGCGCAAATGAGGGATGAAAAGTAAGAAATAACAACGGTGACATACACATTATACGAGAAACGACATTGTTCCAATACAGTTTAATATTTTCATGTTTTCATTTAAAATAATTTTGACCATTTATGAACATATATGAATATAAATCCTAATCCATAAAGATAATGGGTAGTTTCCATTTTGGGGTTGTCGAGAGCTGGATCTAGCCCATAGAATAAATTGATTCTGCAAATACAGATACTTGATAACACTTAGCTGTTTCTATTTTTTACTACTTCGTTGGTGAAAATGAAAGTTGGTTGGTTGGATCGTTTGTTGTTTAACGCCGCACTCAACAATATTCCAGTTATATGACGGCGGTCTGTAAATGATTGAGTCTGGACCAGACAATACAGTGATTAATATCATGAGCATCGATCCACGCAATTGGGATCGATGACATGCATCAACCAAGTCAGCGAGCCTGACCACCCGATCCCGTTAGTCGCCTCTTACGGCAAGCGTAGTCGCCTTTTACGGCATGCATAGGTTGCTGAAGACCTACTCTACCCCGGATCTTCAAAGGGGTTGGTGATACAGAAAATATAAACTTGTCCGATATAACAGTATAATACATACTACCAAACTGAAGCGCGGTGTACATGAATAAATAGTAAAATATTTGTTGTACATGTGTATTTCAGGTGACCGTCATTGTATATCAAGACGAAAACAAAGAAGAATATGGTGCACACGAATAAAAGATCCTGTGTACAGTGAAACCTCGTTTGTAAGGATCCGGTTCGCCTGGACGTTCCCGATTTGTAGATCATTACTGGTTGGAAAATTGGAAAATAAAAATAATTGTGTGGGTTTTACATCGACACATATTGAAGCCATTCCAGGACAGTGAGAGAGTAGTTTCATGTTGGGAATGGAATCGGGTCTGTGGGGTGACGTCCCATTATTTGAACCACCCAACTACGATAGATCCCTATTTCCATATACTTACCAGATACAGCGGTGTATATACTATATCTGACCCGACCATCTTGACCCCTGTCCTGGTCAGAAGCAGAAAATGTTGCCACCACGGTGCCTGGTTTGATGTCCTCGGACAAGGCTTGGACAGGGAACTGACCAGTGTTGTTGTCCAGGGAGGGTGAATTCCAAATCGGTGCATACTCGTTCCGCGGAAGAACCTGCAAGTACTGAAGGACGTCAGTCAATGGACACTGCCTGTCGAAGTCACCACACGTAGCATATTCTTGAAAACCTCTGCTACTTTATGATAATTTCAAAAACAAAAATAAAACTTTAAAATTCCAACTTTTATGATTCAACAAGAAACATCTAAACTTAACAAATAGTTGGGTAAATTATGCCCACACAAAGAAGAATAGTTTTGTCATTCTTGAAATGTACCGGATAAACAGTAAAAGTGTAACCGATATTGTGCAGACAAAAAAATAAATACAATATTAATTTCAGTGTATAATTGTAAAACTAATGTTTCACCTCTGCCAAGAAAAGAATTTCTCTTTTAATACCACCAGGTTTTAAAGCCTGGCTCATCACTCTTTGTGAGAAATAAGAACAAATATTTATAATTTTCTCTTCTCACACTACCAAAATGATGAAAATTTATTGAACATGTTCTTCGTAGTCTTTGAAAATCATGCTCTTCAAAGTTAATAATTGCTGACTTGTGGTAACACCAAGGACATATTAAATTACACCAAGGACATTTTGACATGGTTCAGGTAACAGCAAGGACAAAAATACCAAAGACATATTTTCATTCAACATGAAATAAAAAAATACAACTGACTGCTCCCTGTACAGTGGCTGACAACATTCTTTATCAGTTCACTTGACTCTACTATTATGCACGAAAGGATGTTTTCTAAATGAAGTAGTTTTCTTTGCAACAAGGTTACACCATGTCTAAAAACGCCAAACGCATAAAATGATGACAGAACCGTTGCAATTATGACATAAATAACATAATAAAATGATTGTAATTTCCACTCATTTCAACGCAATTGCCACATAGCAACTCACTAGTAAACTCACCGTGACCACTAGTATGACGTATGCCGTCCTCATAGCCTCGTTCTGAGAGTTGTCGGACACGGCCAGTGTGAGGGAGTAGGTGGGGTCATCACGGCTTAACGTTTCGTAGTCGATGGTGCCCACTGTCACTTGGTTATCACTGATGTTGAAGAGTTTATCTGCGTCTCCTTCCTTAATGGTTAGGGTTATCTCCCCGTTACTTCCGGCATCAGCATCCGTGCACTCGTGCGTGAATATTGTCGAAACTGGAACACATTAGTTTACCATAAACATGATATCATAAATCACATATTCTTTATCCATATTGGTCGAGAAAAATGGTAGATAAAACTCACTGAAACACAAAATTGATGACATTATCATATATAAGTATTGTTGACATGCAGACAGTACTACCATGGCGTTAAAATTATAATCACATATCAACCTGTGATCGGGTACTTGGGGACTGGCGACATGGATTGCGCGAAAGAAAGTTGACTCACAACATTCAGCTGACATTAATGAACACATACCCAACAAAGTAAAAATAATAATCGCAATTGTACAATAATGAATAAAAGCGACAAAAACGCGACAAAAATGATGTTTTTATTATGATTAATATAAGAAAGCTCTTCTTAAAGCAGAATCCATTTTAGTTTTCCGTCCATAAAATGAGCATGTGTTTATATGAATCACTATCAAATAGTAATGATACCAGATGTTGGCATAAGGGCATGCGTATCCTCTGTCCCGTCATGCACATGCAATGGCAAGTCAATTATTCAACAATAACAACACGGCCACATATGGTAAAGTGAAAATAGGGAATTGTATCCGACATAATTTGTGTAACTGAGGCATACAAAAGTAAATCGACAGTTTACTCTTTCAGTCAGTTTAATGTCCATATATACGTTCTTTACGGCACAGAGTATTGGCCCTCGTTTGTAGACACTAGTAACCGTTTAATCCAAGTAGATCACATTGCCCTTAGGCATGTGTATTTCTGTTCTCATTCATCCTTGGACAATTGACTGAATATTAAATTTGTAAATTTACAAATTTGTTTCCTTTCACTTCTGAACAAAATGAGTTCCCTTTGGCGTCTGAAGAAAAAGATTTACAGTGAGGAAAAATTGATTCTGATTGTTCAAAATCAAGTATCTAATTCCAATACCTCAAACACCTCAAAATCAACATGCCTTTGCACACAAAAATAGTGCAAACAGATATCAAACTTGATGAAAACTGTTTCAGAAGACACACAGTTACGTAAAACACACCCTAGCCACTGACTGCTGCAAAATCATCGGAAACCAAAATGGACAATTTATCTCATTCGGCGGTTTTCAGCCATACTTCAGGGAGGTTCCGATAGCAATGAACTCAGACCAGCAGGTTTATTTCCACCAGTAAATCATCACGTTAAAGTGAACATAATTACAGATCCAATGGGTCCATGCAATTTGTCAGTAGCACTGCCTCTATAAACAACTATTCTGGTAGCCAGGGGCAGTGAAGATTGAAGGGTAAGTCTGGTTCAGAAAGGTCGAATTTCAAGTTGGAGAATAATTCAGAATAAGTATTACTATTGGGGAGTTATTTCAAACCAACTCGTACATAGGTACTTCAAAATAACTAAATACCTGTAATTTAATCAAGTTTGTTGGAGACATAAATTAGTTCACCATTTTGTTACATTATTTCTACAACCTGTCACCCCTACAATTAGAGTGAGTGAGTGAGTATGGTTTTACGCCGCTTTTAGCAATATTCCAGCAATATCACGGCGGGGGGACACCAGAAATGAGCTTCACGCATTGTACCCATGTCGGGAATCGAACCCGGGTCTTCGGCGTGACGAGCGAATGCTGTAACCACTAGGCTACCCGACCGCCCCCCTACAATTAGAAATCGATTTAATAAAAAGACTTGTACCTTATGTATAGGGAAAATGAGAAGTATCATATATACGGCAACTTCAAACTCATATCTAGGACATGAGATTTTTATATTGTCGATACCGTGTAGTCAAGGTCGTGTCAGGACCGTGTATCACAGTACATTTATCAACCGTCTGATGACACAGATGCAGTCATGTAGTCTGTTTCGTCATAAGGATGGGAACTCTTGTGTCGCGTAAACGGATATACAGAAGACTACGGTTTTAACGAACTCGAGGGGACTGCTAACTTTAGTTCGTAATAACCGTAGTTCGTTATAAGCATACATACAGCATATTTACAACAAATGGTCAGGACTAAAAATACGTTCCTTATACCCGTCAGTTCGTTATAAGCGTGTTCGTTATAAACGTAGTTTACTGTATATAAGTCAAGGTTGCTACGACCTTCTCATTTCCAAGCTCATCTTATGCTTCCAAGCTCAAGTTTTATGAGACTCTCCATCATCTAAAAACAAGAGGTTTTCAAAATTGTTAGAAAAAGTCCTGTTCAAAAAAGGACATATACACTCTCTCAACCGCAACCCCAGTCTGAAAATGTGAGAAAACCCCTAGAAGAAAAATATTGATTGTCAATGCAATTTTTCGGATATGCACTTATACCATGTACACTGTTTTTTAACGTAAGCGCCCAAACACACCAATTTTCGTGCACAAGGGCATTTTATTGTTTCTTTCATCATAGAGAGCACAATTTTCAGGTGGCCCATGCTAAAAGCCTCATGCACGTACAATTCATCGAAAGACCAGTAGAAGTATGGGTTTATAAAAGCAGGTGTTGATTAGCGATTCACTCTATCATTTTCACCAAAAGACAAGGTCGAATGTGCCACGGTTGAGTGCTGCAGTTCGAACTATCGCCATTGGTCGTATTTAGGCCGGACAAAGCTTTGGAAACGTTTCCCGGCACCTCAATGTTCATAAAACAACGATTTCCCGACTTTGGAGCCGATACACCCAGTTTCATGCAACTGAAGATTGCCCAAGAAGTGGTAGGCCAAGGGTTACCACACCACCTCAGGATCGATTCATCCTGGTCACCCATCTACGTTATCGGCTAGCCACACCCACCGTCACTGCAACACAGGTGCCAGGTTTGAGAAGAGTGTCCGCACAAACAATTAGGAACCGTCTACGAGAGGCCGGTCTACGTGCAAGAAGACCACTTATTGGACCTGTTTTACGCCACCAACATCGACGCCAACGACTCAGGTAGTGCACCAACGTCCCGATATGGAACCTAAGAAACTGGAGGCGCGTCTGGTTTAGTGACGAATCACGTTTTCTCTTACAACGCCGTGACGGAAGACAGAGTGTCTATAGAAGAGGAAACGAACGTTTTTCCCCGAACTGTGTTCGGCAGGTCGACAGATTTGGAGGAGGGAGCGTCATGGTGAAGGGGGCCATGTCTTACAACCAAAGATCAGACTTGGTGATCATTCGTGGCAGCCCAGCGCTGTATCAATGATGTCTTACAGCCTCATCTTCTGCCGATTATTGACCAACAGAGGGAGCTCTATCAACACGACAATGCCCGACCGCACACTGCTCATGCAACAGTGAATTTTCTCCAGAATTCTAACGTCAACGTATTACCATGGCCCTCCCGATCACCAGACATAAACCCAATCGAACATCTTTGGGGTTATCTGGACCGACGAGTACGTGCACGTACACCGCCGCCGCAGACGTTGGATGCACTAGCCGTTGCACTGCAGGAGGAGTGGAGAGCAATCCCTCAGGAAAGATGCCGGCGTCTAATCCGTTCTGTTCCTAGGAGGTGTAATGCTGTGATCGTGGCGCTCATACGAGGTACTGAGAAAGAAGCCCCATTTAAGTCTGGACTTAAACTTGCGTAACTGTACTGCCACCATGCCAAATTTCATATTGTTGTCTTCAATAATAAATGTGTTATAATAACTTGAATATTGACATAAACATCTTGAAAATATAGGGGTTGCGTTTCTTTTTTGAGAGAGTGTACATTCAGTACGAATACTTACAATTGCCTGAGTCTTCAGTTATGTTGACGGTATACATCTGGCGAGGACATGTCGGCGTGTTGTCGTTTATGTCTGTTAGAATGAAGGTCAAGGTTGCCGAAGCCATGTGACTTGCGGCGTCGGTGACGTTGAAGGTCAGCTGCAGACTACCATTACCCATGCTTTCATAATCAAGGGCTTGTTTTGTCGTCAGTACGCCAGTTGTGGTGTTGATACTGAAGAAACTGTTATTTCCTTCAGAAAAAACAGTATTTCGAATGATATAACGTCATCTTATTATCGTCCACAACAGAACTATGTACTGCAGTAACTGGTGTATGAAGAGCTGACAAACCTGCCCGAGTGTTCAGTAGGGCTCTTCCGGTAAAGTATCCAATATCTAGACGCAAGTAACACCATCTGTGAAACTTGGGCATTTCTCTGTGTAAATACGGTGCTCTATTATGAAATGATCAATTGTTGAAATGACGAAGAAGCTGCCATTTGGAGGGACGTGAATCAGATTTCCTAGGAATGTCATTCAGTCGAGCCCAGTCTTACTCTAACTGTATAATTGATGAATGCTAGTGGATCGGGAAATACACGCAGAGCACGAGCTAATTGGACAGTATGGCACCTTTGGACAGCTTCTCTGTGTGAATTTATACATATATCAGTCTCTACAAGAATCGTTATATAATCATATATATCTATTCAGCTTATCCGGATTAATTCATATCAGAATATGTTAACTGAACATCAAAACAAAAATGCATGCTTGCTCTGAAATACTAGACATCTGGTGTTACGGGATTGTTACGGCAAAAAAAAAATGACCGAATATACCATTTCGTCACGACAGTAACAGTCAAGTTGGTGAGACCGCCTCCGTGGTCTACTGGTAGAGCGTCCGCCCGGAGAGCGGAAGGTCCGGGGTTCAATCCCCGGCCGCGTCATACCAAAAGACGTTAAAAGATGGTACTTGTTGTTACCCTGTCTGGCGCTCGGCATTAAGGGGCTAAAACAAGGACTGGTCGGCTCGGAGTCAGTATACTGTGTCTGAGTGGGGTATTCATGTTAAACTGCGCCATGGTATCTCAGAGAGCTAGGACTATAAATCGGCATCAGTCCGGACTAGTACAAGCAGCCCCCCCCCCCCCCCCCCCCCCCCCACACACACACACACGTACATGCACGTCGCTATATAAGTGCAATAATCTTGGACGCGACGTTAAACCCCATTCCACCACGTGTTGGCGTGTTCAAGTCTTTCTACAACGTATCTGGAATCACACTGACTCAGATGTGTGAACATTAACTATTGATAAAGGATTTAAAATAGATTACAGACTGAGTGTATATCTCACCAACAATATCATATGTCAATGTATCGCCTTCGTCGTTGTCAATCACGGAGAAAACTCCTCCCGCAACAGTTCCGATTGGCTGTTCCTCCAGAATAGGGACTGGGCCAAAATTTTGGATGGTAGGTATTTCGTCGTTGATGTTTACAACATTGACAGAGATGGTTGTATCTTTCCCGTCCATTGATCTGGGGCGACAAATGGTAATGCTGATTAAAATGATAAGTAACATCATAATGTTGCCAAACAGGATCCTTGTGAAATTGCTCTTGATTATTAAAGTGTTTTTTAGTTACATTCCATAATATAACATGCTCAGTTATGCTTTATAATTTCGTGCCATGCGTTTTTCTGCAACAATGTGAGCTTGTGATAAATGTGTAAGCCTATATGTTTGACCCTCGGATTCGCCTTGTTTTGTTTATTCGTCGGTTTATTTAAATCGAGTCTGGACCAGACGATCTTGTGGTTGACATCATGAGCATTTCGATCTACGCAAATGAAATACGATGCCAGGCATAGACCTGTGAGCATGCGTAGCGTTAGTCGCCTCCTTCGACAAGCATGGGTTGGTGAATATCAAATCTAGTCCGAATCTTAACGGGGTGATTCGCAATGGAAATTATTGGCGTCCATCATTACTACTTTGCGTTTTGTGTTAAGTCATAGAGAAAGGAATGCTGCGAACTATCAGAAACATATACGTACGTTATGGTTACTGTATAAAGTCGCATCTTCTCATAATCCAGCGTTCCGTTCAGGAGAAGAGACGTTCCATTCATCATAAACAGATCGTCACTGACCTTGAAAGGTTCACCCTTGACGTCAGATCCTTGTAACGTGTAAATAACTAGCCCTATGGTGGCGTTCTCGAAAACACTGATGGTATCAGTTCTCTGGGAAACGATCGGAGGATTATTACTGCTTGCTATTATTATTCTCTGTGCTCCTTCGATTGATTTAGGTGGTGACCCGTTGTCCCTGGCAACAACGTTGACATTATACACAAGTCCGCCTCTTGACTTCAAAAGGGCCGCCGTTCTCAGTGTTCCGGATGTTGCGTCAAGGGTAAATACATTGGATGCGTTGACGCCAGTATCTATAACAGAAACATATGGAGTTCATGGGCGGATACAGAGGGGGGGGGGGGGGGGGGGGGGGGGTGGGGATGGATGGGGGTGCCACTTTTTATTTCGAAAATATCTTTATTTCTGTATAAATTACCACCAAAGACAATAAAAAGATCTTAATTGTGCACCCCCCCACCCCCACCCCCACCCCCCCCCCCCCCCCCCCCCACCCCACACACACACACCTTTTAAAAAAAGCTGTATCCACCCATGGAGTTCCTTATGTCTTCTTGACTTACAAAAAAGCGACAACACCCTTACTATATTCATATGAAAACTCTCTGCCAAAAGCAGAGCCGATTGTTCGATTCAGACTCGTAGAACATAGAGTTACGAATAATGTGACTTGAATGTATTACTGTCATTAATGCTAAAATAACAATAATAGTAACGTTTACCTGTAGAGACAGACTTCAAGACGTAGCTTATAACGCCATCTTGTCCCTTGTCCGCGTCGTCGGCGTTATACACGGTAACAACAGAGCCGAGAGCCACGCCATCAAACACTGTGATGTTGACAAAGGTGGAGTTGTACGCCATGGTCGGTGATGACCATGCAGGCTCGAACTCGTTGACCGGAGAAATCTGTGTACACCATGAAAAGAACTTGTTAATTAATATGTCAAGTGGATGGATACATTTCAAATGTAATCACATATGTTTCAGATCCCAAAGACAAGCGTAAAACGATTGACACATTGTGAAATATATATCATTGACCAAGTGAACGTAATAATTTACATTTTGAACACTTATGGTGATTTTATTTTTATTTTCTGAAACGATCGGTGGCGAGTTAAAAAACATCCGAGTTTCTATAGAGGTAAATAATAACGGTAAAGGCAGCAGTCACAACACACGTCCAGACCAAGGATGATAAAATGTGATATAGTTGATGCAATTGATAAAAAGTACATGTTTTGTTTTGTTTAAGTTGTCATAACTGAAATAAATAAAGTTTATGAAATACAATTTAGGGAACCTATACGTGATGTGAAATGTTGAACCATGCCCTCCAACGCTCGTGTGTATGTATGTGTGAGTGAGTGCATTCCAACAGAAGATATAATCAAATGCGTAAGTTGATGCTCATGGTGCCAATCACTGGGTTGTCTGGTCCAGACTCGATTATTTACAGATCACTGCCATATAGCTGGAACATTGCTGAAATAAATAAACACACAAACAAACAAACAGACTCAGAAACTTGCCATGGGAACTCACACACTTACCTGAACCGTTATCAGTAGTGTTGAGGTCAACTGGACGTAACCTCCTGGGTTGTCGGTCAGGACGACCTTGAGGACGCTGGAACTATCTGGGGCTACCGACTCGAAATCCGTTATATTGTTCCCCGTGTAAAGACTCAGACCAGATAAGGTGACGTAGTCGCTGAAACTTCCGTCGTTGACGAGTGTTCTGGTGAAGTTCCCGAGTTGGTTGTCATCAAGGTCAGAACACTGAAGTGTTAGTAGCAGCTGCCCTGTTAAAGGCGTAACATAATACTATTGTTCTTCTTTAAATAAACATTGTTTCATCTTCCATCAAAACATTATAAACTTACAATAACATCATTTGTCTGTTGTTTGTTCAACGCTTTTCTCAGCACTATTCCAGCTATACATGTACAACGTGTTACCGTGCTTTTTCAGGTGAACAATTGACTTGCCGTTGCATGTGTTTGTGACGGTGCCATCGGTGGGGCAGGATACGCTCACCTTTTCGTGAACACCTGGTAGCATCACTATTTGATACTGGTTCATAAACACAGGCTCATGATATTGTCGAAATCGTACAATCGACTCTCTTAAATTTGGAAAAGGTTTTGCCGCTTTTTTGTGTGTACATGTACAGCGTCGGCCTGTACATCGCATGTAGACGAAACAAGTAGAGGCTGATTTGAGGAACAAAGATCAATGCACTCGGGGTACAATTGCACGCAACCAGAGAAGTCACCTGCCCGACAATCCTATCTATTAAGTCTATTAAACGACAAGCAGGGGTTGATGGGGACCAAAACTAACATCGTTGCCAGGAGATGTTTATTTTATTTTATTTTACATGAAAATAAATACCTGGGGATGTGTTTTCAGGCACATCCACAAGATAATCCGACTGGGAGCACATCGGACTGTTGTCATTCAGGTCAATGATAGCGATGTTGAAGGTGACCCAGTCCTCCTGACCTGCAGAGTCACTGACGGTCATGGTGACACGATCTAGGACTTTGGTTCCGTTGTCATAATCAACGAACTTCGTCAACTTCACCTCACCCGTTGTTGTGTCGATAGAAAAATACTCGGCGTCTTCGCCTGCAGCGATATAGAATATGAATACCGTTAGAAGTGTAATGAACGTTTTATTTGGATGCAGGTTATTCGTTGGATGTGTCCTTAGCACTTATAAACCTACTGGCTGTTTGTGTAACTCGATATGGAGTTTTTGAAATTGTGGTAACACCTCGTAGGAGGTATAACAACGATTGTAACACCTCGCAGGAGGTATTACAACGATTGTAACACCTCGCAGGAGGGCTTACAATCATTGTAAACCCTTGATAGAACAAAAACTACGAACAGCCAACGAGACGCACGTGCAGATTTAGTGCCATTGCGAGACGCACGTGCAGATTTCGCACCGTTGCGAAACCCACGTGCTGAGGTCACCGGTTTCATTGAACCGAGTTCACGACTGCAGGCGATATTTAGGAGATAAACCTACTGTGTTTTGAAATTTGATGTGGTCCCACTGTAGAATAGATACCTCTTTATTTTAAGTTTCAACCGAGCGCTTTTTTGTCAGGAAAGGCTTATATATTTGAAAAGGGTTTCCGTAGCAAAAAGGAAACCTCTTTTTAACCAATCAGAACCAAGCATTCATCAATGTCACGGTAGAATTCATCTCCGATACAGGTTATGCATTTGAGAGTTTTTATTACAGTTATTTAATAAAAAACGTTGTCTATGCGATGAGTCAGTTTATAAGTTGGACAAACCATGTCTCCTCGAGATTACTAGAGATTGTAAACCCTCATGTGAGGGTTTACAATCTCTAGTAATCCATCGGAGACATGGTTTCTCCTACACATATCAGGATCTGCTGGGCTTCACATACAAGTTTAACCATGAGAGTTTCCCTGTCAGCACCATACATATCCGTTTCACCAATGCGATACCCGTCTCCGAATGTCGCCAACTTAAATACTGATCATATTGATATATTTATCTTAGAGTTAGAAATAACCGAGTTACAAATCGAGATAGAAATCGTTTGTTCACTAGTTCACATATCAGGCGCACCAGATATCATTTACGTCATCCAGGCGTCATTGTTCATATCATTCGAATTGTGACGTAAGGTCGGAATGACGTCCCACACTAGTAACGACGTCAAAGCTGCATTTTTTGCCGTCTTTCGACAATTCTGGTTTTATCAGAAGGCTATCGTGGTCAGTGCATTTTTCTGAGAAGTAGCTCAAAAGTATGAAGGCATTATGGGTAATAAAGAAATTATTACACTCGCACGTGTGTCATACTGATGTCACGAAACGCGTGTAAGACTTCGCGTATTTCCATCGCTTTCGCTGGGGAAATACAAGAATTCTGACACCCGTTTCGTAAAATCAGTATGGCACACGTGCTCTTGTAAAAATCCACAATTAAACCAGTTTCGCATAGAAACAACTGAAATACTGTTCATATCGATTTTAACCCAATACCTGCGTAGGAAATAGGTTCGGATAGATTAAATATGTGACATTTTGAACGGAGCAAAATTCATCTTACGATAAAAGAAAACCTTTCTTTGTTATCGTTATCAGTAATACACGGCAGCGTTTTGTTACATTACAAACCTCATTTAGAATTGCAGTCTTAAAATAAAAGGAAATAAAATCGGCTTGTTGGTACTAATAATAATTCAACACTATTTTTCAATAACTTTAAAACGGTTTTTGACTGTTTATTTTGTGTTACCACTGAGTTTGAAAGTAAGCGGTGGGCTCCCGCCGTCAACAGATTGGAACAAGGGGACAACTGTTCCTATAGGTCGTTCCTCCATCAGCGTCGGTGACGTCAGTGCTCGTATTTTAGGAGCTGCAACCCCTCCGACGTTGTTCTTGATGACGTTTATTGTAAACGACACTGATGTTGTGAACTTGCCGTCTGTAGCACTGAGACAGAAGGAAGAAAATATTATGATCCGTTTAATATAATAACATGTTACCGTGACTTATTTGTATTTATTTGTGTACAAAACCGAGCTTGCTGTGGAAATGTATTTTAGAGGAGTTCGTTGGACCCAAACGCCTTTAATAAAAAACGCATGATGAGGAACGGAAAACAGTATGCGGGCATAATGCGTTGCTTTCTGTTCGAGTGATGTTACTTTTGCACAGTAGTGTATGCATGAAAGTTAATGCATATGGCGATATCTCATTACCTCACTGTAAACATTTTGTTGTTGTCTGTATCAAAGTCCAACTTCTTTGAGAGTGTCAGATTTAATCCTGAAAACCTGAACAGATTTCCCGTGACAGAAAACGTCACAGTATCGCCATCTTTATCAACAACGCTGAACGTAGACACCAACGACGACATCGCAGCATTCTCGTTGACGTCCACACGCGACAAGGGGTTCTGAATGACTGGTGGGTACTCATTTACAGGGGTCAAGGTAAGATTTGTTTGACTTTGTGCCTCTTGACTGGGTGTTCCGCCATCTTTAACTTTATACTTGATAACATAATAGCCAACGCCCCCAGTTGACGTGTCACTGTCAAGGATGGCAAGGGTGCGTAACTCTCCTGTCGTTGGGGATATTTCAAATTTGCTCATTGCGTCATTTGAGGAATCTAAATACACGTGAAAATAAAAAAAACTATTAAAAGTCATATAGTTACACCCTGACAAAATCCGTTTTATCTTTACAACGTTGTTGGCTACATGTTAAGTAAACTACATTTTGTATTTTATGTAGCACTTAACCATCAGTCACTTCTTATACGTGTATAGGGCTACATTGTGTTTGGCTTTAATCATATACAAAATCCTAGAATGGTATGGATGACTGTTACATCTATGTGTCCCAATTCATGTTCCTATATTCATGTGTTGCTGAATTACAAACCATCAACAACGCTAATGAGGCTGTACATCACCACCCCATCCACCCCTCTGTCGCCGTCGGTGGCGCTGACGTTGAGCACGAGAGCGCCCACGCTGATATCCTCCTTCACCTCCAGCTGTAAAGCCTCGTTTTGGATGGATGGAGGAAACTCATTTACAGATTGGATCTGAAATCAAATAAAGCAGGTAAACGAGTACTTTTTTCACACAACTTGTTGTCGAAACTCAGAAATTATCCAAAGTGTTCATTTGGACCACGCAGTTACAGATTCGATCCCAATCAAACAAAAAACAGTTGTTTTTTATGCCCTGTTGACTGCCAAAATTGAACCGCGAAATCATTAAAAGGACATGTATAATTCGTTGAAGAATCTGAATCATATACTGGCGTATCACAACAATATACCGAAAACGTTTTGTTTAATCTAGGACCCGCATGTTCCCATCGATATATTGCCGAATACCGTTTAAAGTTGTAAATATCATTATACTCACTCCTTTCAAACGTCCTTGCATTTTCATCCTACAAGATTCCGATGAAACCTCAGAAAAGACATTCGTGTGAATCATGCTTTGTATATTACTGAACCTTCTTACCTGAACAAATATCGTGGCTTGACTTGTAAATCTTGGAAATTCATCTGACTGATCAACGGCATTTAAGGTCAAGGTCACGTAACTTTCCACTTCAGACAGACTGTCGTAATCAATGTCCGAACCCTTGACAAACAGTGAGTTGTTGCTAAAACTAAACCATCCGCTTTTATCATTCGTCAAAGATACAGCACACATTCCGTTACGTCCCGTGTCTTCGTCATTGCAGGTTATTGACAAGGCAGCACCTTTCATGAAGAAAAAAACCTGGAGAGTTGAATCGCATGCATACTGTGACTATATCACGACGACCAATAGTACAGTCGAACCTGGACTAGACGAAGCAGTGTTTGAAGATGTAAGCAACAGTTGACACCATACGGACATGACGTTCATTAACATCACACGCAATGCATGTTTCCTCTTTCCAGAGCAGTTTAGAAGGGTATGATCCCTTCGATAGGTAAGTCATTGTGGCTGGATGATGAGTGAGCGATAGAACATGTTTGGGGGAGGGGGATACCCTGTGCGACTGTTGTAGGGGAACACCCTTTTTGACAGTGTGTTCTTTAAAATGCTTACTGAGTCCAGTAACCATGGTAACCCGTTTTGTGAATCTTCAAACAAGATTTGTTTTAATTCAGCTGATCAGGATGGCCATTCAGCAGTGAGTGAGAACAGTGACTCGACACCAGCAGTGACAGGATTAACCTGATTATACCCAAGGTAAGTCTTCACTGATGGTCACCCATTTCAGTACTATGGAAACTATTTATGCATTTTGACAACCCGACCAACATCATCAACATCATCTTACCACAACTATGTAAACTTTAGACCATTTTCATAGAATTTCCGGGGGAACGGGGGACTCAGGCACCTAAGGCGCTGCAATTCTCTGTGCAGAGTTGCGTTCCTACGATCGTGGGGTCAAATTATGTTTCTAGGCCTGTCAGCACCATACCCGTGCTCATGGGTTTCATCAAAGTAGTAAACTTCTGAGACCTGCAACCCTTCGGGCTGACATTAATCTGACAAGTCGTCATATAACTGGAATATTTACCATCTGTTGAATTTTCTTTGACTGTAACCTTGTATATGCTTTGACTGAAAGTGGGTACATTGTCGTTGATGTCGGTGATGGTGATGTTGAGAGTGCTGCTAATGACGCGATCTAAGTTGTCGTTGATGGCAATTGTGACGTCATTGATGACGGCGAGGCCATTACGACCATCCCGGTCAATCCGTTGTTTTATTGTCAATTGGCCCGTCCTGTAATCCATTTCCAGCATACCCGTAGAATTTCCTTAGCGAGTAAAATACATATATATTTATCTAAAAAAAACCGTTATCCCTGCTACACGGAGAATCTTTAACACCAGACGTCTTACTGATTTAGAGATCAAAGATAAATATAAGATGTAAAACTGGGGGTACGGGTGGCCCAGTCGATTAAGGCGCCGCAATTCGCTATGCAGAGTTGCGTCCCTTGGGTACGGCAGAATCTTATGATCCTGGATTCGAATCCAGGTTAACCTCAATTATGTTTCTAGGTTTCTCAGCCTTGCTAGTGGCAAACGTCCAAGGCATACATCACTTCGGTCGTTCCTTCCACATCAAGCTGACACGTCGTGATATAACCAGAATACTGTTTAAAGCGGCGTTAAACCCAACTCACTCACTCACACACTATAGTGTGAACCGGCCCTCAAGCTGGGAATATAGCTAGTCTATTGGCATTACAATGCAGTTCACTGCGCTTTTTTAAATTTGAGATAAAACGTTCAATCCAAACTCCCAATCAATTATGCATGAAGTAATATAGCTTATGCAAATTCTGATTATAGTATAGTAATATAACAAATAGAATATTCCTCACGACTAGTAATGAATAAAATGCAATCGAATGCATTCCATCGCAATCCAATTAAGACATATTTAGTGAAAAGAAACTTCCGAATCTTAAATAACAGTCATGACATATGAGGAGAATTCCAAGTTCTTTTATAACTTTGAACAATTGCTTTTCGTGTGTGGTCTCTACATTTGCCTTGACATTTTACGTTTGACATTAACCACAGTTCAGCAAACGTAGTAATAAAGTCAGAAATAAAAATAATCAGCTGTGAATTAACACAGCACAATTGTGCTGCATAACTATACTCTTGACCTTTCCGCTAGTTCAGCTGAAACCTTTTTTTCACATACAGATGAGTGTATACAGAATCAGGAACATCGGCCTGAAATTTAGCTAACCTGATCATCGTCTTAACAATATTGTACATTGACTGAGATGGATATAAAACAAAACAAAGTATATGTTCAGGCACGGTATATACGTCTTTGGTTCAGGCAACAAAAAACAATTCTCCACCAGCCAAAATGACATTCCAGATTATAAAAACAACATTGTAATAACGAATAGGCAGTCGAGTTACATAGTTTGACGTTAATCTGGGTGGATCAATGTGTTAATGTTACAGGCAGCAATAATGCAGCTTTATCGCAGACTTGATTGGCTGATAGCGTGAGGAATGATAAACGCAGTCAGGAAGGTGATCAATTATACTCAGTCGATCTCAATATACCGTATATCATCTATTAGACGCCGGGGCTCTAATAGACACCGGCCTCTAATAGAAGCCGGGTCAATTGTTCAGTGCAAAAAATAGAAGCCGGTCCTCTAATAGACGCCGGTCCTCTAATAGACGCCGGGTCGATCAATTGATACAATTTATTATCCCTTTTTGGGACCTAAATTACATAATGAGAACTCAAAATATTTCCATTTCGTGACGATTCGGGACATTCGTGGTCATAGTGAAATGGTGGTATTAATAATACCTCTAATTGACGCCGGGTCAAAGGCTTGTCCGAAATAAATAGAAGCCCGGGCGTCTAATAGAGGAAATACGGTAATCGGATTTACGACAAACAAGAAATGAGAACCTAATCTAAATTGGATTATCCAGGGTGTAATTCAAAGATGCTCACACAAACTGACCAACACGTATTTGAAGCCGTGTAAGGACATCTGGGTGTACGAATTAGTTTATGTTAAATGTTAGTACGATGTATCTGTATACCTGCGAGCGTGTATTGCAGTGTGGAGCCGCCGTCACTGTTCACTGTAAACAACCCTCCCACCACCGTCCCAACGGGGGTCTCCTCGGGTATTGCGAACGTCTTGGCAAAAGACACGGAGGCCTCATCTACGTTGACAGTGGTGACTTGCACCAGGTAGCTGTAGTCGTTGTTGTACTTCCCATCGCTGGCTCTGACAAAATGGAACACGTCTGTGCAATATCAGGAAGTGAAAATAAGTAAATATCATGAATAACTAGCCGTTCTTGCAATTGCCAACCGAAGTTGTTTGACCTTTGTCTTGGACCCAGTCCATTCCCATGCGGATGTGGATGCGTCTGTACGAATCTATTCTCAGTAGACCAAAGTTCCTGAAATTCTTTCAGCCCATGCGGGAAACAAGGGAAGCATATACAGTAAACTATGTTTATAACGAACACGCTTAACGAACTGACCCATATAACGAACGTATTTTTATTTCCGGCCATTTATTGTATATATGCTGTATATATGCTTATTACGAAATACGGTTATAACCAAATAAAATGAGTGGTCCCTTTGAGTTCGTTATAACCGTAGTTTACTGTAACATGTTATTATGCAGTTTTGTAATTATGCCGTCATGTGATGGTTTTGTGGTTATCAGTGTATATCTATGGATAAAGAGTTAGTGGTAGCGAAATAGTAGTGAAATGGAATCAACTCTGAACTGCCATAGACTATTCAATACCAAAACATGTTCAAGATACTGCAAAACAGTATTATCTCGATGTAGTGTTGAGGACGATATTACTTATGTGTGTCTGGATAAGTCCTTATCGATACTTTAGTCTTATAGTGAAACACACGAGATCGAGCTGCAATCTCATTGGTTGAAAAACGTTTTCAAATGGGATTCGATCCCCAAAATCACTGCAAATGAATACTTATCTTGATGCGTATCTCTTTTGTCTCCAAATCCAAATTTGAAATATAGGTACCATTCGGCATGGCGAAATGCATACCATAAAATATTAACTTTGACCATTATTTGTCCGAACAA